CCGATTTTGATCCTTCTGATATGCAAAAGATTACTGCAATGGCTTTCGATTGCACAAACGACGATTTTGCTATACGCCCAACAATGAGGCAAGTTATAAGTTTTCTTCTCAATCTCAATGTTGTGAAGAAGCATGCCATAGTTTCGATGTGAAAAACATAACCAGATTTCGGAAACATTTTGACACATTTCATTCACCTTTAAAGGTGCAATTTTCAAAGATAAAATTAAATGTCAGAAGAATTTATTGTAATTTACAAATGTGTTTGATTTGTTGCAAATTTACATTTAAATTTTATAAGTTGCTTGTGTGTGTGTGTGTGTGTGTGTGTGTGTGTGTGTAAAAGTGTGTGTGTGTGTGTGTGTGTGAAGCTCAGCCCATTACTGCAAATTTGTTTAACTTGGGCTTATCCGAGGTTGGTTGGGCCTTACAAAATATCACAAAAGGAATGATTAATCCTAGTACGCGTTCGGTTAACTATAGTGGATTAGCTTGGATTACATGAGCTTGGATTAATTCCCGACTAGGGGTTATTTTACATACCCCCTAGCCACCAAATAAATTAGGGATAAACCCAAGCCCAAATCATCCCTTGACATATCCCCTGGGGACGCGAAAGTACTATACTACCCTTTTGTGCAATTTTCGGCCAAACTGCATTCAGCATTTATGGTCCTGCATTTATCATTTTCGCTGATTTATTTATTATTATTATTATTTTTTTTTTATATAAATCTGTTTGTTATATATATATATATATATATATATATATATATATATATATATATATATATATATTTTTTTTTTAAATTTTTTTTAAAATAAATTTTTTTTATTTTTTATTTTTTTATTTTTTAATTTTTTTTAATTTTCAAAACAATATGTTTACAGTACTGAAAATAACTACATGTAACTACCTATAGTAATTCATAGTTATGTTCGTTTTTCCCCATATTTTTAGTCGATCAATTGTATACACACACGAATACAAAATAAATTCATAAAACCCCAACAAAAATTTACAAATTTAAATATTTTTATTATAAATCACATCAGAACCAATAAAAAACAAAACGAAAATACATAAATATACGCATATATAAAACAAAAAAAAACAATGGCCTTCATTAAGGAAAGGATCAATGGCCTTCATTCAGCTGCAATTGCAAAATCAAAACAAAAAGAAATTACTTTAGTGCAAATCAACAAATTTGAATAAAAACATCAAAACACTCAAAAATCACCAAACATTATTAAGAGATCGAGAGATAGAGAGAGACGTTATTGCTGGGAAATGCAAAAAAATATGGAAATAAATCTGAAATGATAAAAATAAACGAAATTACCATCAAAATATAGATCCCGACGAGAGGAATCCAACGGTGGATGACCCGTCAAATTTCGACGGGTGGAACACAAAATAAAGCTCTGGCAAGACCACCGTCTTCGAATGAAAAAAATTGCAGAAATAGATCCGCGCTCGAAACTGAATGAAATCACCACCAAAAGAAAGAGCTCGACGAGAGGAATCCAACGGTAGTTAAACCATCGAATTCCGACCACCGGAGAGAGAGTTATGGCTCCGGAAAGCAATTTCGCCGGGTGAGAGGTTTGTAGAGGCGGGATTTTGAATCTGGGAGAGGAAGAGAGAGACCGTGAGTGGCTAGGGTTAAAACTGATTTTAGAAGGGTATTATAGGTACTTCAGGGTAGCCCAGGGGGTATGTCAAAATATTTTCGAAATGATGGGGGTTTCACCTAGAGTGTAATCCACTTGGTAGTTAGTTCTATATAATTTGGAAATGAGGGGGGTCTACAAAATAATCCCTCCCGACTAATTAATTATTTAGTTAGTAGCATATTCGATTTCTTAGATTAAATTTTATATTAAATTTGTTAAAAACAGTTATTATATATGTATTGTCTATAAACCACTTAGTTTACAATAACAAAATATAATTTTTAAGTAAAAAAAAAAAATTATGATTTTCAGGATAAAATTGTATTTTTCCTTTTTAATAGTCACCCCTTATTAAATTAATGGGTAAATTCCACTTTACCCCCTCGTACTCTGCCTGAGAGTCACTTTACCCCCTCGTACTCTCAAATTTATCGATTTACCCCCATGTACTTGTACAATTTCCCAATACAACCATTTCCTTCAACTTTTGTCAATTTTGACTCCAACGCCATTTGGTCAACTCTGTAAATTACAAAATTGCCACTGCCTATAACGCGTTGTTTCTTCTCCGTCAACATTGTCATTTCTTCTTCTCCCACCACTTCCCCTTCCAAGATATCCCCAAATTGAACCCCTAACTTAGTAAAAATCAAGACCCAAAAATTGATCGATTCCACCCAGTGCAAAGAAAACAATATATGAATGTGTGAAACTTTCTCTTTTCTAATCTCGAGAGTCAAAATCGAAAAAAATCAATATTTACGTCAATATTTTGACTCTTGACCAAATGGCATCAGAGTCAAAATCGAAAAAAGTTGACGAAGAGGGTTGTATTGGGAAATTGTACAAGTACAAGGGGGTAAATCGACGAAATTAAGAGTACGAGGGGGTAAAGTGGTTCTTGGGCAGAGTACAAGGGGGTAATGCGGAATTTACCCTAAATTAATTCCAGGGGAGGGGTGCTACTAATTTAATGAGATAGTGCATTTAATAGCAGACTTTGATATCAGTAGAGAGTTTGAGAAAGTGTGAATCTTGCTAAACGAGCATGTTATTAGCCCATACTATTTAGTCAATGGAATCTTATAGCGGTAACCGAACGAGCCCAATTCCTAGAAGAAAAAAAAAGGGAGATAAAATTAAACTTAGTCTTTAATTTAAGTTAATTAGTAATTGAATGAAGAAGGCTCAGAAAAACGACGATTCAATATTTTTAATCAAGTATAACATTATTTAACATTATTTGACGTCTTCTCCGACGTCTCCCGATAGTAGTCCACCATTATGATGGTACTAATACCTCCGAATCCAAACCTCTCGTTGTTTTTCTGCTTTTCATCGTCTTCTCCGATGATGGTGGTGATTAGGGCGTCGGTGATGGTGTCGATTAGAACTTTGGCTGGAGTTAAGTAATGTGCAAAAGAAGATTTGACTAGTGTGGAACTGGCAAGGAGAAGTTGGCGGTGGAGGAAGGAAGGGGCGGTAGCGGCGTGAAGATGTGATTGTCGGAGGTGTTGTTGTGAGTTTGGTTGTGGTGATTTCAACAGGGAAGAAGAATTTTGGGGAAGACGCAATTTTCTCTCTTTTCTTTTATTTTCCTTTTTTTTCCTTCAAAAAATTGTTTTTGTTATTTTAAGAAATTTTAAAAATTGTTATTGGATCCAAAGTTTTGGATTAATTATATTTAAATCCAATTCGATTTGATATTTAGGAAAATTACAATTCAGTCCCCCAATTGAAGTTTCAGAAGTTTAGTAAAATTGCAAGTTAGCTTCTATTATATATTAATTCTAATTTTATGTTATTAATTGAAGAGTAGTTTAGTCAACTTCTTTTAGTCAACATAGGGGCAGTGAATTAAATAAAATGCAGCATTAGAGGGTTAATTGCTAATTATTTTAATATGAGTTTTTTTTAGACATTACAACTTACACAGAAGTGGGGTCCTGTTATGATCCAAGAAAAATACTGTAAATGGGTTTGCACAATCAAGAATTTCTGTGTCGGAGGAGTTTTGGTTTATGAAAGATTATCGAATTGCAGTGAGAATGCCACTTTTTGGGGGAGGGGCTGGTTTTCGTTAAGCTTAAACGTTATTGGTGCTGCTAGTTCGGTGGTGCCGTGGTGGTGCGGTGGGTTGGGGTAATTGTAGGGCTGGCAATCGGGCCATATGAGCCGAGCTTAGGTTGGCTCAAGCTCATATACCATCGGACCTCATTAGTATAAGCTCAAGCTCAAACATCATCGGGTCTTATCCCTAAAGGCTCAAACTCGGCTCACTAATTTTTTCGGGCTTCGGGTTTATATCGGGGCTTTATTTCGAAAGATAAAAAAATTACTATCTTTAAATAAAAACTTAAAACGTGACTTTTGCAAGTTATTGTAAATTCTAGTTTTAATGTTTTATTTGAATTAAGAAAAAGGTTAAGATGCAGCTAATAGTTTTTATGTAGAAAACTTTTCATATTCTAAAGATTGATTTGATTAAATTTATAAATTAATTACTACTAATTGAGTAATTATTAACTTGTTTACATCCGTGCATATAACCAATTAGCTAAACTAATTTGCAATATATATATATATATATATATATAATATTTTATATTTAATTATTAACTTAGTCGGGCTTTGTTCGGGTTGAGCCATAGTAAGCTCAAACTCAGCCCATAGTTTAATCGGGTCTAATTAAAAGGCTCAAACTCGACCCGGCTCACAATTAATTCGGCTCGACTCAAATAAAATCGGGCCGAACCATCGGGCTTCGGGTAGGCCCGGCCAGCTCAATTGCGGGTCCTAGGTAATTGAAACCAAGTCCTTAGTTTAAGTTTGAGAGATTTAGCATAATTTTCAATTTTGGCTCTGAGTTATTTTCGCATTCAATTTGGCCTCTAACTATTGTTTGGATCAATTTGGCCTGTATTTTATGTTATTGTAATTTTATTGAAGGATATATATTTTATGTTATTGTAATTTGATATAATTTTATCCCATTATTTATTGAAGGATAAATTTGTCCTTTCACCTTTGGTCAAAGACTAAAATCACAATAGGTCGAATGTGCTATTTAAAATCACAGAGAGTATTTTCAATAATTTATTTATCACATGAGTTTTTTTGCTATTTTAAAATTACGCAAGGGTATTTTGTGCAGTTTACTCTAATTTATTTATGGTATCTGTTAAGTTGTATAGAAAACAGGCCTGTTCGATATCTTCACCAACATACCTTAAATTCTTACGGCGGAGCTGCGACGGTGTAATTGACCGGCGAACGGTATCACTAGTTTGCATTTTTTTTGTTTAATTACTTTTCCTTTTGTTGTGTGGTATATCAAACTAATGACATTGCCATTAAATAATTGTATTGTTGTAACAAACTAATGAAACTTCCGAATAAAACTATCAGGTTCTAGTTAATGTATTATTGCCCTTATTGTAGCAGTTTGGACATATAAATTTCTCTTCTTCGTTTAGCTATTTGTAATTGATGTGCATAAGTTTAGCGTAAAAACTTGTTTCGTAACCGTAAATCCCCGCGCGCCACGTGAAATCTCGACAAGCTTGTTTCAATTGAACTGAACATTTATTTAATCAAGAAATATCCATGTGTTAAAAGTTGGCAACTTATGAAAAAATTGAAACAATGTGCAAATTAAAACAATTTCTAGGTTTTCGAACAGAGTCACGATTCATTAGGTTTTTGTAGTTAAACGCATATCATGACTAGTTGTACTTGTTTGCAGGAACGAAATTCAGTTTCCGTTTACGTGTATTTTTCACCGAACATCTGCTAGAAGAATAGAGCTAGGACATATTCACCACCTCTCGTATCACAACTTGGCTCGTTTTACGGATAACTTTTCCAAGAGCAACTACCTCTGCCATTTCTAATTCGGCAAACTTTATCGTGGCAAGATTGTCCATGCTGAATCGACTCTTTTTGTGATGGTCAAGATATGGGAGGATTCCGAAATCTACTGCTATAAACCTGGAGATAACGAATCTAGAATACTGGTACGTTATCCCCGACCGTCGATTTTGACTATATATATATATATATATATATCTAAGGTTCCCGACAGTTGACATACGTACTTGCTTTTTACAGGACGAAGTGATTTTACTTCGCCATCATTTGGTGATTAATCATCCAAACATGATAAAGTTGTACGGATTCTGTTATGAAGTTGGTCGTCATCTTGGTGTTGTTTATGATTTCAATCCGTTTGATTCCGTTTATAACCTCGTTCTTAAAGGTATTCATTTTATTTTTATTCGTTTTCGTATCTGATTATACGATCCGGGATTATTTGCCGTCTTTTACTTACTGATAGATAGTCGGGCTGTTTTTGTTGAGCCTCTTGCTTGGCATGTCGTAGGTGTTCAAATTGGGAATGATTTTTTATGTTGAAATTTTTATTGAGATTTTCTCAATTTCTACAAATTGACAATGATAATAAGACACCGTAATCGAAGTTTTGAGTTTTATTCATAGATGATTTCACTTGGTTGCAACGAATCAATGTCCTCGTGCAATTTGCTTCACTCCTCGGTTTTTTGCACACTATAAAGAGTCCGTACAAACCTCTCACACTTCGCAATCTTGATTGTGCTCATATTGTTCTTGACAAGGTACGGTGTAAGTTCTTCATTCCCGTAATTGAATATCGTACATAGCAAATGAATGTAACAATTATTAATTCAATTCTTTCGCAGGATTATAATCCAAAATTATGTGATTTTGGTCTCGTAACTGGTGGGATTTTCCCTGATAGGGCCAAATATAAATGCCGTCGTGTGATTGGAAGCTATGGCTACATGGATGTTGGCGCATGGCTTGAAGGTACTTTCTGTTGCACTCTCGACTACTAAGAATTGAAGTTCTATTTTACGGGGGGTGATGTTGATTATACGATGAAGAATAATATCACGTATAGAAATAAAAGAAAATTCAATTAGTACGTATATATCAAAGATTAATTAAAACTAAATATTTCAAGATTTGTATCATTTTTGTTTATATTAATCTGTTTGAAACCGCAAGTCGTTTAGAAATTTGTTGCAGATCATGCTCCGGATAAGCCAGATGTGTTTGCATTTGGGAATATACTTTTGAGTTTGATTTCAAAGAGAGTTTTCACCGAACAAGACCGGCAAAATCTTTCACCGTATGTTTTCAAATGGGCCTACACGAAGTTTTTGGAATATAAATATGGTCCAGATAGTGACTCGGAGAAAGATGATTCAGATCGTGACTCCTCGAAAAAACATGATTCAAATCGTGACTTGAAAAATGATGATTCAGATCGTGACTCGAAGAAGCCCAAGTTTTCGCTCTTCCACCAAAGTCTAGCAGAGGAACCCGATTTTGATCCTTCTGATGGGCCTAAGATTACTGCACTCGGAATGGATTGCACACATGATGATTTTGGCAAGCGCCCCACAATGAAGCAAGTTCTAAGTTTTTTGCTCAATCTCGAAGTTGTGAAGAAAAACATACCACGTTTTCGCTAGTGTGAAAATGTCCTCTGATGGTAACTGATTTTTGAATTGACTTAGAATTACTGTTGTCTAATTAATTTATAGCATTGAATCAATGAATTCTAGTAAATGTACAATTATTGTTTAGTAAAAGGTATTTTGTATATGTTGTGTTTTGAGGTTAATATAATTTCTGAATTTTGGTGTTTCAAAAGAGCGGTTGTTAATATGTAACCGTTTTACTATTTTCTCGTTTAAAAGATTCTTTATTTGTTTTCGTGGTCGGTTGGATTTTGTGTCTTTGATTTTTACTGGTGTGTGCTTAATCAGGCGATTTTTTCATTTAGATGAGACGTTTTGTTGGTAAGTCAATTTTGTTGAATGATTTACTAACAAAAATCCAATGACATTCAAAAAATGAAAAATCGGAATGCAGAATTTTGGAAATTGTAATAAAAATAAAAAAAAAATTGTTCAACAATTGTAAATTTTTTAAAGGCTCGAGGAAATTCAAAATTTTCAGTCAAGTATTATATAAAATATATGTTAGTATTAGTATTAATTAATTATTAGTTATACATTAGTATTAGTATTAATAGTGGCATCATGGACAATTATACATTGTAGTTTTTAATTACTAACTGGGGTGAATACGACCTTTTTTATAGTCTAGGGATGCAAACTGTATTTTACTTAAAAGTAAATTCAGTACTTACTCGATTCGGAATTATTCGGTATTAAAAAAAAAAAAAACTCATTATACTCGGTCCTAAAATGGTTTAGCTCATCCAAATTCTCCCCTAAACAGGTCAATTTCGGTCTATAACCATGTCAATTAGTACATATTGGTTTCTCTAAGAGGGTGTTTGGCTAAACTTATTTTAAACAGCTGATAAGCTCTTACGTCTGATAAGATGTTTTTAGAGCTGATAAGCTGTTACATCTTATTTTTAAGATTTATTTTTAGAGTGTTTGGATAATGAGCTTATTTCGTATTTTTACTCATTAAAAGATCTTAAATAAAAAGGTGGGGTAGAGGTACTTTTTTAAAAAGATCTTATTTGCTCTCCAACAGCTTATTTTAAAAAAAATAAGATCTTTTTTTAAAATAATTACCAAACACTTTAGAAGAGCTTATAAGCTCTAAAACATCTTATAAGCTCCTTTTAACATCTTATAAGCTTAGCCAAACACCCTCTAAACTTTCATCGTAATTGACTCACAAATAGCTTTGTTCAATTTGTTCTGACGCTCTTCATTATTTTGATACATAAAGTCATTTAATATATCTTCAGGCTATGATTTTTCTTTGCAATTTCCCTTTTCTTATTTTTTTCTGTGGAAAAAATATATTTTTCATCCTCAATTTTGCATAAGATTTGACATTTTGTTCCTTATGTTAACAAAAAATACATTTGGTCTCTCATATTATATTTCAATAATTTAACACTTTTGGTAATTTCTGTCAATTTACCGTTGGTCCGTCAGTTAAGACCGTCAAATAAAAACTTCATTTAGATATGCATATTAAATGAAAATTCCGTAAATTGCAAATCTAACTAAACATTATTTTTTGAAATATCAACGAACGAATTATTTTTCAATTGGAGCACGGGTCACAAAAAAATGACTCCAAGTATCTAATACAATATCTCAACTAATTATCTGAATTTCTGGTGCTTCCAGTTTCATGTTTTATAACCAAATTTAATGAAAAGAAAGTATAAGATATAATTGGAGAAAAATACAACTTCCATCTCTCAAGTTTACACCGATTTCACATTTGATTCTCATTGTTCACAAAAAACACATGTTGTCCCTCATGTTTCAAAAATTCAATATTTTTAGTACTTTCCGTCAATTTTATGCTAAAACTAACAAAATCAAATGTGTGCCTATCACTGCCATAACTAACGGACTAATGTTGAATTGACGTAAATGACCAAAAGTGTGAAATTATTGAAACATGAGGGACTAAATGTATTTTTTGTGAACATGAGGGACCAAATGTACAATCATTACAAACTTAAAGGATGAAAACTGTAAATTTCCCATATAATTGAATTTAGGTAAGTTCCATTTTGTACATATGTTGGTGAACTCAACACTAAGTACCGAAGAATGTCGTAAGCATTTGAAGAGGTACACAAAATAAGAGGTTGCAATACAAAAATTAATTGCATAAATATTCCATTTGTTTGTTTCTTTCTTTTTTTAAAATGAAAGAGCCCTCCTTAAAAAAATTAAAACGCAATCATTTCAGATTTTTCATCTATTATTTTATGTTTCAGTACGTGAATACGAATTTATACTAAAATAAAGAGTATATTTATATGCGTAATTGTTAATAGTAAATATTAATAAACTAAGCAGCTCCAATCGTAAACATTAAATGGAGTATCAAACTTTCAATTGGTGCTTGACATAATACTTTGGTACTTTTGGAAAAAAAATTATATTCCAACTCATAGGTATCTAATACATTATTATCTAAATAAAAGTGAATGAAAAATAAATTAATAGACATATATATTCCCTATTATGTAGGAATTTGTTTGAGATTTTAAATTTTGTCCCATTGAAACCGCGGTTCCCAATATTAAGTAAATTTTGATTCTTGTAGTGCATTTTTGCACCTCAATCATGTATTATGATGGTAGTTTTATCATTTGATACTAATTTAATTCCCTATTAGAGTTAGGGATGACAATGGCTAAGGATTTGTTGGTTCTTAGACCTGGAACTGACATGTTTGGGATGGATCTGGATAAGTTAAATGGTTTTGGGTCGAGTAATGAGTTTAGATTTTTAAAACTCGATGAGTTTAGGTCGGGTTACGGGTCTTATGGAAACGACCCATATAATATATTATATTTAATAGTATAATATACAAATTAATTTATGATTTCATTCATCAAACTTCCAACTTTCATCGTGCCTATTCTCATTCGCCAATTTTTCACCGTTTCACTATTTATAATCTTGTTTCTCGTAAGTAATATCTATCAATATTGTCGACCACCGATAGCCGTCTTGCTCTTTAAACTTTTTTTATTGTAGAAGTTAAATATAATTAAGTATATAATTTTATTATTCACTTTATATCACTTGCACTAAATTTTAACATATTGTATTTTAATCTTGAGAATTTTTTTATTAAAATATAAAAGTAAAATATTGTGAAAGTTAAAAAAATATAATATTTTTTTTTATTTTAGCGAGTCTGGCGGATCAGAACCATTTAATTCTTGTATGGATTGGGGCGGATCCGAGTCTAAGCTAAAACGTGTTCAGGTGTATGGGTTTTATATATTTTCGCGAGTCGGATCTCGGATTTAGGTAAAACCATCCCATAACCGACCCTTTGTCATTCCTCATTGGAGTTCAAATTAATTGTTCAATAAACCGATAGGCACCAAATTGATAGTTCAATAAACCGATAGGCACCAAATTGCCTAAATATTAAAAAACCCGTAATTGAAAATCTAACTAGATACTGAACTTTGAAGAAAAAAATTAAAATTGAATATCAAATTGAATTTTCCCTATTTCATCAGTCGTGAAAATTGATTTGACTCTTTATGACCTTGTAGTATATATATGACGCCAGAAAGAGGCGAGAGTAGATGAGAAAAGTACCGGTACTCATATGTCCTTACATATAAGTAAAAATCGTAAGAATCAAATCGTAGATCGTATGATTTAATAAATTTTTTTACATTTACATTTTACTCAAAATATTTGAATCGAATCGTAATATTTAATGGATTAAGTTCGAGTTATTTCAAAAAAAAAAAATTCTTTGTTTTAATTTTTTATTGTATTATATTTATTAATAATTTAATTAAAATTATTTAATAATAACGAATATGATAATTAATAATCAATTAAACATTATTTAATATAATCATTTTACACTTTAAGTTTATGTTATATTTATAGTTCTTGCAAGTTATTTCTCAAAGATTTGCTATATCTTACTGGTTAGGAATGGATTCATTTTCGAGGACCCGAGTTCGACCCAATGGCTTCA